ACGGGATGGGGCAGGGGGGGTCACCTCGGTACTGGTAGAGATGTGTGCCTTCGATGGGACGGCGCCACAGCTTGAATTGCTTCTTGTCCATCACCATCTCCCAGGGCTGCTCGCCGGGGGCTGACGCAGCATCCCGCTGTGACGGGGGGTCCAAGAGGGGGGGTTCACCCAGAGCCCCCCCCCTGCAGCGGGACGGCCAAGTTCTGCATGCGCTGCATCTCCTGGGCTGAGCTGGAGGGGGGGGAAGAAAAGCAGCAGTTGGCAGCAGGACCTCGGCAGAGGTGGGAGAACCTCAGCGGCCGTGGGCAACCAAGGTCTGATGGGGGGCAAACGGCCCACGGCATCAGGATTGCAGTTATGGGGTCGGTGAGGTTTGGTCCCCCCCAAGGCTCCGCCGTTCTGCGGGGGTCGCTGCAGCAGCCGCCCCCACTCTTGAGGCACCGTGAGGAGCCAGGAGCAGCGCAGGGCGGCTGCTGCAGAGCCTGCGGGGGAAGCGGCCCGGCACAGGGAAGCGGCCCGGCACAGGGAAGCGGCCCGGCACAGGGAAGCGGCGCTTCTCCCCCAAGCGGAGACCTGACAGATGAACCACAGAGCGGCCAGGGTTGAAAACGATTACAATCATCGTCAGTTCCAACCCCCTGCTGCGTGCAGGTCGCCAAGCAGCAGCCCAGGCTGCCCAGAGCCACATCCAGCCCTGAATGCCCGCAGGGCCGGGGCATCCATGAAACCCAAGGGGACGCGCAGAGCAGAGAGCGCAGGGTTTGAAGGTTCGGAGCTCGGTGGAGGCACTGAGGGATGGCGGCGCTGGGATCCAGAGGTGTTTCTCCAATGGGAAAACGCTTCTGTGGCTCTGGGGCTGAGCCCAGAGTAAAAGGCAGAGCAGCGCTGGGCGGTGCTGAGTCAGTGCAGAGCGCGGAGCCAGAGGGAGAAACCACAGGCGGCAACCGGAGACGGGAGGGCAGAGAGCAGAGCTTGGAGAACCCCGAACAACCGCAGCTCCACAGCCACCACAACAAAAGGCTGCGAGGGACAGACTCGGCCGTCCCAGCCCAGCGCCCTCCATCACCCCCTGCCCACCCCCCCAGCTGCACCTCTGCGCCCCCCCAGATGTAATTACACGGCAGCAATTAGCACGGCCCTAACGAACGCACTGATCCACCCGCACGCCTCCCCACACACCCCAAGGAGCCCCGTGATTTCTCCTCCTGCAGGAGGCTGCACTCCTCCAGTGGCTGACGATGCCATCGCTGGGGGGAAGGGGCAGCTTCGTTAAGCCGCGGGTTTAATTAAATATCAGCTAAGCTCCTTATGGCAATGCCACATCCTCGGACCAGGGAGCAAAGCGAAGGACAGCGCGGCGCTGCCCCACAGCACCCAATTAAGTTTTAATCACCTGCCCCGACTCGTCTCTCTCCTGTGCACAACAATTAGGGCCTAAATGACACCTTGACGGCTGCAAGAAGCAGCCACAAAGCTGCCGTCCACCCTCGTCCCACCGCGCCGGTTTGGGGGGCAGCAAACCCCCATTTCCTCATGGAAGATTCCAACCAGGGGGATTTGGGGTGCGTGGGCGGGGGGTGG